GACTAGACAAAAAACCATTACTGGATCAATGCAATTCTATGCATGCAAAGAATCTTTTGTTACTCTTTCCCCTAAGTTTTATGCAGTAAAACAGGATGAGCGATGAGCGATAAGAATGTTCAATTTTAAAAAATTCTAAGCATGCAAAGGCAACAGTGTCATACGACTGCATTTACTTCCGATACCGCCTGTATCGCGAAAAGAGAGTGGCCTACGTCAGTGAGATTCTGTCCATCGGCGCCCACCACAGGAATTCATATATACAAGCACATCATAGTCGAGGTGAATGGTGCAAGAAACGTCGATGCCAAATAAAAGAACGATACGGCCAGAAGAGATTTTAAAATATAGGCGGCCTGGCGATATTTATCATAACTTAAAGGCACGGAAGAGAATAACTCCCTTAGTTTGGAAGAACAATGCTAGCAATCAATTAATTGGTAATTAATTAATTAGTTGGTTAATTAAAGTTTTCTTAAAATGCAATATTTTCATCAATTAATATTAAACATTATAATCAAATTTTTAAACAAATAATTAAATAAATTTAATCATTTAAGAAATATTTAGAATATCTATTTTGATAATGAAGAAAAATTTAAACCTTCAATATTAAATAGTTAATAACTGCAACAATACTAATAATGATAAAACTAATTTACTATTTTACTTCCAACTGTACTACAATTTTGTATTTCTAAGCGCTCACCATTTTTGCTCCACTGATTTTGCCAGACCCAATAAATTTTGCCAGGGAGCTATTTTATGATAGAATTACAGTCGCCCAGCATCGGTGTATTCCATAATTATGCAATAAACCAGAGTAGCAAATTCTGGACTTGCGCTATTTGCAAATAATACCTAAAAAGAACCAACATTAAATGCAAAACCCGACAGAACAATGGTACTTATTTCCATGTTGCAAAAATATGACCCCTCAAATCACTTAAAATAAGCGCATAAAAAATTTGTAAGCAATTAACCCATTTCGGACTGGCAAAAAATAAGATTCGATCACTCGTCACAATAGTTCGGCACACATCCCTTGCAGTTAACGACTCTTATATTAACAATCTAAAGGTTGAATATTATGACCAGTATCATGAAGGGAAGAAACGGAGGATTGAGCGGTATAATGGCCTAAAAATGAGGGCTTAAAAATCGATCCCCTTGCGAAGACACTACAGTTACACACGAGTGTCACCCTAATGATTTGGAAATGTTTGGTGTGTTCATTCACCATCTTTCACCATTTAGCACTCACTTCCATCATCATCACCTTAGGCCGTAATTCGATTCAGTGTTGCCATGTCGGTCATTTACCTTTTAGCCACCTTTTAGCCGTTTGTTTCTGCGACTTACCTATAGCCAACCAGAGAAGCCAACCAAACCAATTATGGTGAAACCAATTATGCTGTCAGAAAAAGTCGTTCCTGCATTCTGAATCAGAATATTTAGATTTGGCAATGGTGCGTTCATGATTTCCTCTATTTACCTTATCGCAGGGATAATCCTATGCAGAAACACATCGAATAATCGAATAAAGTCTTTGCTAAAAATAAAGCGATCCTGTTTCCATAAAATTTTACTTTTGTATAATTATTAAAAATCATCGAAAATCGCATTAAATATAAATATAAATCAAAATACAATTGAAAGAAATTGAATAAATAAATGTAAAAAATAAATGTGAAAAATTTTATATAGAAAGTGAATAATAATTTCACTCATTTAATATTTAAAATATCAAAAAATATTTAAAAAGAAAAAACAAAAATTCAAGTAAAGAATATACAAAATAAAAAATTTAGGAATAAATATTAAGGCACTAAAAAAATGTTCGCAACATGATTTTTTCTGCTCAATAATCTAATACGCTATAAATAAAATAAGCGATAATCTCTTACAATTAAATAATTAATAGCAGAGGCTAATTGAAAAAGCGAAATATTACCTCACCTCCTTCACCTACTTGATCGTCATCAGATAAAGAAATATTTTAAACTACAAAATTACAAAGTATGCTATGTTATTTAAATGTATAATAATAATAAATAATAACTCCTTTCTTTAAATGATAATGGAATGATAACCAAATGATATGGAAAATAATAATGAATGATAAGACACATTCGAAAAAACGTGAATTTTTTCACAAGCGAATAAATACTAAGACGAATAAAGACAATAAATGAACTAAAATAAATAAGTAAATAAATAGAAACAAATGGCTAAAGACTACTGATGCAAGCAACCTATTAAATTTAAAAATAAAACTACAAATTTTACAACGATAAATAAGTAAATAAATAAATAAATAAAAATAATTGATTTTAAATGATTACAACTCATTAATTTACAAAAAAAGACTAATTTATACGTCAAAAAATTGTGGAAATTTGCTAATTACTACTATAAAAATAAAATTACAATTTATACAATAATTATTAAATTATTTTATAAATGAAAAGATGAATCCTTGCAAAAAAACGGTTACTCATTAATCATATAGAAAAATATAACAAGGAAATCAACAGAATAAAGCAATGCGAAAATCTATATCCTATTTCTTAGTTAATAAATAAATAAATATCACAAAATGGATAAGAATGGATAAAGCAAATAAACTAAATGAACAATAATTATATAAATAACAGATATCAACTGCGCAAGTAAACATTAAGAAAAATGAAGTGGTACCATAATAACTCACTGGACACCAATCTCAACGTCGATGTCATCGCAGTCTGATTCAATATCGGATACTTCAGCCATTTTATAAGAATCTTGAGCCGGTAATGGCGTATAACTGAAACGTTTCCATCAAAAAAAATCTTATTCACATAAAAGAAAAGTAGGAGTAAGCAAAAAAATGTTTAGAGCTATCAGTTATTCGATACCCAGGAGTGCAGAACATATGATGGTTCCATATGATGGAAATAGTTCCATTTACATGATTATTCGACAAGACTGACGTAAATTTATTAGAGATAAATGGTTGCTGTTTCGCTTTGGAGGAAATATGATAACTGCAATTGCAATTTATTAACAAACATCTATCGATAAAATTCTTATTTGAGAAAACCTCAATCAAAGTTGAAATACAGATTCAGATTCAAGACGATTTCTCAATTGGAAATGAGCTGAAACTTAAAAGACCATAGTAGTAATTAAAGAGGATCATTTAAGAAAAAAGTATAAGAGGAGTCCTACGCATTCATAGGAACTGAGGAGTAGAAGTACTGAGTTTGAGCAATTAATCACTGTCGCAAATACACATTTATTTACTATCAATGAGTGATCGTTTTGTCATTAATCCCTCAATTTAATTTATGAGCAGTAATTTATGAGCAGTGGTTATTTTCATTTTTCTAATGCATTTTTTTGAAATTTCCTTTTTTTCTTCTGAACATAAAATATTTTATTGAAATTTAAATAATTTATTTTTCCTCTAAATCTCCTGATTTCTATGAATATCATAGAAATTTCAATATAAAATTTGCTTCTCTCTTTTTTTGTCAGGAGAAAAGCAAAATGCTACTAATACAAATGAAGTTACTGAAAATCTGCCTCAAGTCCTGAAGTATCATTTTATCCTCAAACGACTCAAATAATGACAAAACCGTCTTTCATCGTCCTTAAGTCCTTAAGATGGGCAAATAAATCCGTAAGAGATACGAGATGAATATGAAAATCTAATAAAGAAAAAAATGACCAAAAATTTTCCAAACCATTAGTAATAATCCAAGATCTGTTGAGAAAAAAATGCAAACTGATAGGATTCGTAGTAAATGACTGTTCATCGTGGCGCTGGACTTAACAATTTTCATAAGTCATGTGTTATTGTTCAGTCCAAAATCGTCTTGAGCCTGACAACATATAGAAAACAACATATCTACCTATCTCCTATCCTTTTAAAAGATTTGGAAACATTTCAAACACTTCAAACCAATTGTTGGAATATCTCAATGATGCTGAAATCGCCGATGAGACGCTAATAAGGTAAATCTGTTTGATAATGCCACTGGTTGAGGAAGTGAGACTTTAAATATCTTTGATCCACTCTTATATCAAATGGCTAAACGAGATTTCAGTTTGGATAGCCGCAGCTAGAAACGTCTTTCTACCGAAATCTTTGCGAAAAAGCCATAAAATTAACTAGAAAAACTATGGCTCCAAAATATGGGCAGTGAGAGTGGAGGATATGTTATCTATTTTTGATTTTTCTTGCTTAAGGCATTATTAAACGAACACAGTACCACAACATACACCACCTTAATAATGTCATTGAGTGTACGCTGATTAGGATATTCTTCGACATTCGTAATAAGAATGAATCCATATCTTATTAAGAGCTGTGATAGATGGACTCAGAGCCAACTTAATCGGCAATATTATTAAATTTGTAGATCTTGAGACTGTACACTGTGGAAAGATTGCTGGGAAAATGTGGAAGCTTTTTCCATAATCTAATTATAAAAGGATTTTTCCAAGTCATCTTGGAAAGTTTTGGAGTGGATAAATTTTGCCATTTAAATATTTCATGTCATATAAATATTTCATAACCTTGCGCAATCTTTTAATCTTATCCTATCACCTAATTCCATAAGCTTAATTCTGGGCGTCGAATAACCGACGTAAAATTAGCAAATCATTAAATAAAAAAATTATTTAAACTGATCTGTTTTTACAAAAAATATTTGCATTACTCGACATTATTGCGATGATTGCTATAACGAGCTCCGATCATAATAGCTTTGAAAATAAAAGCGAATATTACCAACATAAAAATGATAGCGCTTAATACGAGAAAAAATGAACCAAATAACGAGGCATGACTGATTAATCTATTGACAGGCCTCGTGCAATCTTCTGAAAATTACAAGAAAATAGATCAAAATGTTGAAGTTCCAACCACCCTTAGAAATTCGTTTAGAAGATGAATAACATTCTTATAACCTTAAGAAAACCAGTAATTATATAATTTAATAAAACTTCTTCTAATCGTTACTGGTTAAGCTGGCTTCGCTGGTAACAAGGGTAAGATGTTTCCAAGCTGATCGATCCGAAGCCATTGCTGACAGTAAAGCCATTCTTCTACGGTGATTTTATGGTGGAAGAACCTAATATTAAAACTTTCTGTACTGTGGATTTTCCAGCAACTGATGAACTTAAAACTCTTTAAAAATATTGTAAATCATTCATTATAAAAAAAAATGGAATTTTGATCAAATATGATAAAATACCACAGTGATGATCCATAGGAGCTTCATCGTGACCACAGCATGGTCTACAATAGCCAACAGAAAGGTTACTATAATTGGCAGAACATGAGTCACACTGAAGAGGTCCTGGTCCATGGCATGTGCGACATGCTTCATCACATTCTTTGCATTGATAAGTTACAGTTTCATAATATCCTTCAGAGCATCTGTTCTTTTTTAGTACACATCGAGCTTGTACTGCACTTGTATCTAAAAATTATTGTTTGCTGGAATAGATTTGTTTCCATATTTATAAATGTTAAATTATATATGTATATGTATAGTTATATATGAATATGTATGCTAAATTATATTTTTTTTTTAAAGGGTTTTCACCATTACTGGTTAAGCTCGCTCGTTCCACTGGCTTGTCGCATTGGGCAATATGCCAGGGACTACCCCTTGGTGATAGAAATATAGGAGAGTCCCAGCATCATCAGGATTTTTGAACAGGTTTACTCCTGTGAGGAATCGAATCTCAGCGCATCGGCGCTCTTAATTGAGCAAAAACCTACTGAGCCATTCTATCCCCATGCTAAATTATATATGAATATCTGAAAAGAATTTTTGTGGATTGTAAATAAAACTTTCAATATACAAAATATGTAAATAAAGATGCAAAAAAACGTACAGTCAGGTTCCAATTCAGCAGGACATTTTTTAACACACTGGCCATGGTCTAAATGACCATAATGGTCCACATCAATTAGAAACATTGCTCCTGGGCAAGTAGTACATTGCTCTGCCTTTGAGCATGTTTTACAATTTGGACTGCACGCACGACATTTGTCATTTTCGACAAAGAAACCTTCGTCACATCGCGCTACACATCTAAAAAAACAAGTGGTGATTACTCAGATTTCTCGAGAAACCCTCTCAAATAATCCAACAATTTTTCCCACTATGATGTCGACATCGAAATTATATATTCAATTTTCAAGAAATTTTCTAGAAAATTCAAATCCCAAAATATGTATGCGCGAAAAAATTGATAAAATGATATAATTAAAGAAATTTCGAGTAAGCTTTCCATGATAAAACAATACTTGAATCCTGCACGATTTCTTAATGATTGGGTAAGATGTTTGCAAGTAAAACAACTGACTGCCGAACGAGGTTCAATACAACCTAAACATTCCTCGTGGCAATTTCCGACCGAATGTAAATCACCGAAATTGTTCACTCCCATTGGTACTTCATTCTGAAAAAAAATTTTTTATAAGAAAATTACGACAAAATTACGATAAATGGCAAAATATTAGAATATCTAAATCATACATATATTTTATCGAATTTATTTATCGAATTTTTCAAGCTCAAGTTGGCAATTTTTTGTAGATTAATAGATATGCATTGCTATAGTCCAACTCTAATAATGCTACTTAGACTTATACTGTGGATAACTGATAAGAAATTCAGAGGAAAACTATAAAATTATCAACCTTTACCAATTATCATCATCAATATACTCATTAAAACTGAAGTTCTGATAGCGCCTCGCATTCGCCTCTATGTTTATTTTCAGTGATTTTCTGCGGAGACAATAAAAGAGGACAAAATCAGAAAAAAATCAAAATTACGCTATTTGACATTCGACATTTATGCTCGAAGATTTTAAAAAATATTATAAAATTGGTTTTCATAGGCTAATAAAGATTAAATGAAATAATTCGTTCGGAAAAAATAATCAAAAAATTTAAGAAATGTTAAAACTAAAACTAAACCATATAATCAAGCAAATTTTTGCAGATAAGCAAATTTATATAAATAATATAAAAATGAAAAAAAAGAAATAAACGAATTCATCCCAAATATACTACGACTAAAATCAATGAGTTCCCTCACTTTTAACTAAATAATTCTTTTTTTTAAAGTTTTTTCCTTATTTTTTATCGTAAATAATGAATAAATAAATAAAATGTAAATAAATATTAGTAATAAAAGCAATTTTTTTTCAGCAGTTCCTTTTCGTAAAATAAAATTTATATCGTAGCATATTTGCTTACAACAAATGAACAATAAATTGTTTATTTAGCACGATAAATTATTTGTTATACAAATATATTTACAAACATACCAAATAAAATATTTCCAACAAAATTCCATTCAAATAAAATTGAAAAATTTACCTTTGATCCTTCAAGTTTAACATTATTTCATCAACATATATATGCGAATTTTTACAAAAATTACAAAAACTTGATTACAAAAACAATTAGAATAAAAGCAAATTTTTATAATAAAAAATTAATGAATAATATAAATCGTTATAAAGAATCATTAAAAAATTATAAAATGGCAAGCAACGTAATAGATTTTCACAGCTCCAAAGCAACTAAAAATAAATGACCAAATGTATGAAAGCCTAATTTAGAGCTAAAGCCAAAAGCAAAAATAACAAATAAAGTTCCATGAAACTGCTTGCCCTAGGTTTATAAAAATGATTTATAAAAATTTATAGAAAAATATACTTTTGAGAAAATCAAATGCAATCCGTAAAACTATAAAATCTTTCAAGTATAGAACCTTATAATAAGTGAGGAAATGAAACAAATAATAAGTAAAAACGATATCAACAATAAATCTTTGTATACAACCAATTTTATAAGCCTAACAATAGAAAATTTGCAAATTTACAAAAATAAAATATTGAAAAGATACTAAACAATCTTTTTTTTAGCGAATGCAATTAAATTTACGAAATCGATGACACAAATTTAATAAGAAAATTAAAACTAAAAATAGGAACAAATTAAGTAGAATTTATAGATAATTAAATATATAAACACCCATATAAGTGTATATTAAATTAAGTAAATAAAGTTTGTGGATAAAATCGAAAAAGTTACAAAAAATATGAGCAGTGAATTAAAAATTTATTAAAATGATATTTTTCATTTATTACATTATTTAGGTTAAAATGATAAAATCACCGCTTAGAAAGACAAACTGTTTACATAGACAAACATCACATCACATCACAACAGGCACACAAATCAAATGAGCATCATTTTCAGCCATTTTATGATAAAAACACAAATCAAAAGAAGCAAACAATATCAGAGAGGCAGTCTTTATTAGTGGATTAATTAGAAGAAACAGAGGTTGATGCTGCAAACCCAAAATCTATATAAATCTGTATTTTTATTTTCATTTCTATCCGTAAATAATTGCCGAAAGTCAATGAAGTTACGCCAATACGAAAAATGGTGTTAAGCACTGCTAAAAGTTTTCTTTTCTATCCTCGACGAATGAAATGAAAACTTAAAAGAATGAACAAAAATTGTTAAGAAAAAACAAACAAAAAAGTCGTTGCAAGTGATAAAATAATTATACAAATTTATTTAAGATTTTGCAAACTGAGCGACAGAGGATTGCGGAACGATAGTTGAAACACGTCGACAAGCGTACATCGTCGTTAATGCAATTATCATAACTATCGAAATTTGCAATGTGATAAGTAGAACCGACAGTGAAATCTGCAGTACATTTTCAAACATATTGAAACATTTGCGAGAAACTTTAGCTCAATCTTAACGAATCAACTTTAATGCTAACCCCCCTCTCTTTTAAATCTGACAGCAGTAATTCAATAAATCATTTAATAAACTGAAAATAGGTAACAAAAAATCAACTATTTTGGTCAAAAAATAAGAAGCAGCCGACTTCCTCAAAAAAACGAATTCCCCCTCAGCAAAAAAAAGTAATAAATGGAAATAAAATAACCGCTCTTCTAACAAAAAAAAAATTATGCAATTAATTCCTTATAAAATCTTATTTTTAACTTTTATCTCGAAAACTGCTTAAAAAACTTAAAGGAATTTCTAAATAAAATAATAAATAATTTTCGGTGACTATCGAAATTGTTAGAAGTGTTCATAAAGCAAAATTCGCAAAAATATTTTCCAATGAGTGGATGAGGATGTTGTTTCGCATGCAGCATAAGTTCGATACTTCTCACCTGATAAGAGTAAACCTGTCCTTAATAGTAAAATCTGAATGATGCGAGCGATCTTCCCATACACCTAACTGTCTTTTCGGATTTGAAAGTTTACTAAAGTGGCTCAAAATATTTATGCAGTTATGCATCTATTATCACTTCTAGTACTTATCACTGTTATCTTATTTTGTGAAAGATGAACCTTATAATGTTTGCTAGCATTTTTCGGCTTATATGCTAAACGTTATGATCAAAAGTTGTATATATAAAAATTATCAATAAAAATTTCTGTTAAAAATTAGCAAAAAATGCACATAAAAGAATAAATCTAACCTATACCTTGCAAACATAAAAATGCAAATGAGAACTCAGCATAAAACTGCAACAAAAATAATAAAGCATCATATTAAATAGAATAATTAATTATTTATAACCGAATTTATAACTGATAAAATCCGAGGATTTATAAGAATGAAAAAAATACAGCTTAAGTCAAAGATAGACTTCTCTTAACTGAAATAAACATACTGGAGGGTAATAAAAAATTTCCAGAGAACTTATGCGCTTTTTCGGACTTTTTCGGACTAAAGGTTTACCAAAACGGGCATTTATATAACAAAGAAATATTTCAAGAATGGGATAACACAATATTCGCTTCAAAAAATGGTAGAAAAATTTATATCCAATTTATAACTGAAAAAAAAGCAATAAAATGAGGTAAAAGAGAAAATTAAAGCTTTAAGATACAAAAATGAGGAATGGAAGTGATCGATGACGGCCATTCTGACTGACATATAACGCTGATCGTATGAAGAAAGAACCAAGGCCTTGCAAAAATCGTACTGAAGCGACTAGAGGATAGATTTATTTTTCACGAAAAATTCCATAATCCTTTGAATCTATAAAAAAAAACATCTTCCATTTACATAATCGACTAGAAGATGAAATAACTTTTTATAAAATCGTCGTCCTTAAATGCGAATGAGATATATTTTCATTAGGTAAAGACGCAAAAATAAAAAGAAAAATAATCATGTGGACAATTTCGTGGAAAAGGAAGAGAAAAAGAAGAAAATCTCAAACGATAAAGCTAAAAAAAAAGAACTCGAAAAGAAAAAAGGGTACCAATAAAATCCTATTCATCACAAAAAAAGTGAAGTTAATTGTGGCAAATCATGTGGAAGAAAAACTAAGGCAAAAAATAAATTTTTCCCAATTCATCCATTAAAATATTGAACGTGCCGTTAAACCATTTTTAAAACTTAATTTAATTTTTGCTATTCAACTAAATTTAAAAGAAAATATAGACTCAAATGGTTTGCGAAATTTTAAATAAAGGTAATATACAGCTAATAAAAAAATCATCCACATAAAAACTACTGGAGCTAAAGCTGATCCCAATAAATTATTACGAAAAAAATTTTTCACAATAAAGAAATATTATACTTTTTTTTTTTTTAAAAGCTCTCACCACTGCTGGTTAGACTCGCTCTGTTGGTTTATCATACTAGGTAAATATGGTAGAAAGTACCTTGGCGATAGAAATGAAGATGAGTCACCAGCCGGGTTTTTGGACAGGTTTACTCCTTCAGGGATCAGGATCCCAATGAGACGCTTCGAATTGAGCAACAACTCAATGAGCCATGCTATGCCTCTATGTTATTATATCATGTTTATTAGATTAAAGTAGATAAATGGTGATATGAAATAAAATATGAGATGGTTCGGCAAACACACTCTCTTTTTCGACAATGATCAATTAAAATAATAAAAATGAGGAATGAGAGAAATTAGACTTGTCTAGCTCAAGTGTAATTATGATTTTAACAATATGGCAGATATTAAAAACAAGCCGATATGGTAAAAACATTTCTTCTCATGCATGCGAAAAAGAAACAATAAATATTGATGGAAATATTCATTACATTCAGTAATATTCCTTTCTTTCTAAGAAAGTACCACAAAATTACCTCTTGTCCAACCTTCATCGATTATTTTATCTATATTCCTTACTTATTTGTACTTATTGCCCATCAAATGGCTATTTTCAAATTAAATCAAGATAAAGTTAAATTTTGTGCAAGAGAGCGATGTGCATTAATATGTGGCCTTGAAGACACCTGTGAGGTTATACGTGATGCTGTTCGCTCCAAGAATGATTTTGATGGATCGTTGGATGAATAAGGTTGTGGTGAATAACGAGAATCAGAAGGTTGTGCCGGTTCAACTGTTCCATACAGCAATAATGACCAATCGTGAAAAGTTCCTGATAACTCTTTTCATAATTATTTCCAAAATAACTAATAACAAATATTTTTAAACTACAATATTTTTGGCCTGAAGTCTTCATGAAACATAGGCAACCTTTGACATCAATCCGACGGAGCTAGTAAATATTTCAGGTTAAATTGTTTTAAAACGAAATATGGACTGATGAAAACAGAAGAAAATTCAAAAACCAGGAACCAACCTCCAATTTTATTATTTGCACTAACTGATTCTACCATTAATGTCCAAACGCCACGTGGATCTTCACCCCACATTTGAACAGATAAAAAAGGCCATCTGTGGAACCCGTTTGAGTTATAATCCTGCAATTATGTTGTTATATAAAAACTAAATGAAAGTTTTTTTCTTTTTATAAAAACTTTATAAAAAAATAATGGATAACCTGTGGACGAGGTGGTAATAACACAGAAGCTGTTCCACGTGGTGAAAACAGAGTAAGTTTAAGATCTCCACGTTTTCCAAAACGTATGGTAGCATAAACCTGTACATGTTCGAGGTACAAAACTGGAGTCCCCGAAGAACAACCGGAAACTTCCAAAGTGAAATTGATTTGGAACCTACCCGTAAGAGGACGAGGTCTAAAAAAATAGTAAATAGATCTTTCTTTAATTAGAAAATTTTAAAAAAACTAAAAACAATAAATACTTCAACATACTTTGGTGCTTTAAGTTCATAATTATAAGTGCACATATGCTGTTCAGGTACAGTTTTCCAAACCCGTGCAAGCTTCACAAGTGCATCAGCATCCATAAGTCCATATCCAAATTTATTACTAATATGGCGATTTACTCCATTTATAGACCAACCGGGATTTTTCAGCAATGGAACTGGATTTGCTGTGCGCAGTACAATATGCTGCATATCACGCCATGATAAATTCGGACTAAATGATGAAAAATACTTATCTTAAAACAAATAAATGATACAAATACCTCAGCTGCCAAAAAAATTATAGGTACAGAATAGGAATTTTTAAAAAAAATGATGCACAAATAGATATGAAAACCATTAAAAAAATGATAAGTTAATATCGAAATAATATTACTTAGCAGCCAATTATACTTACTTTGCTTCCAAAGCTAAAGCAATAATCCCTGCGGCAAGTGGAGCACTGGCACTCGTCCCAGTATGTGAGCGAGTGCATCCTCTTGGAGCATCCACAGTCACCTTCAAAAATTTATATTTTTTTGCAAATTTTATCGATAACGGTGACATTATTATATATTATTATTATATCTTATGTATCTTTATTCTTACTATTGCTGGTTGATTAAGATTGGCACTGCTATAGGTAGTAGCAATGCTTGATGGACATTCTTCGAGATACCATGGTTGTCTATTATCAAATGTTGCCGAACTAATACTTAAAGTATATACAGATGTAGTGTATCCATCAGCAGAACAGCTATCTTGCCTGAACAAAAAATCTGGATTCATTTATTTATTCACTAATAAAGAAGTAAGCAGAACATAAAGGATATGTTCGGGTTAACAATAACAATAACTTGAAAATAACAATAATTTTAAAAAAGACAATTAAAAAAGTCCAAATAATATTATTTCATTATTAAGCGATTAACATAACATAACCTTGTGAATAAGAAATCAGATATCTAACAGACGCAAAAAAATTAGGCATAAATCTGGATGGTGATACTTTTGGCAAAAACTTTTTAATATTTTTAATTAAAATTATTAACTATTACCTAGCTCCGCCATTTCCGCTGGCCCAAACAAATATATTTCCTTTTCCACCACGGCCATTTTTGATACCTTGATAGAAAGCTTCGCGTGCTAAAGGACCGGGTCCATCAAAAGTTTTACCATCATCTTCAGGTCCCCAACTTGCCGAATAAATATCGATGTGATCTTGACGTAAAGAAAGACTAGCAGCTTCAACTCTAAAAAGCAAATAAAATTGAAATACTTCATTTTGATAAAAAAATTTTAGGCAAATAGATTAACAGAAAGAAAAAATTATTTTACGCGTCACTTATAGGTCCATCCAACATTCTAACACCACCGATTTTAGCGTGAAAAGCGACGCCAACACCGCAGTACTGATTTCCAGCAACTGCTGCAACCTCTCCAGCGCATCGTGTACCATGCCTTAAAGATAAAGATAATTTGTGCAATAAGTCCTCAAAATTTATCAGCTCTTTGGAGATATCAGACATTTGATTAACAATAACTAAGTTTTCATCAAATATCTCTGTATTTTATATAATATAATATTTATATAATATTTCAATCTGCATTTTAATCATACTTGTTATCTCCGTTATCCTGAGGCGTTGGATCTTCATCATTATCATTTATATCGGCACTAGCCAATGGGTCATAATTAATTGCCAAATCGGGGTGGTCTCGTTGTATTCCATCATCAAGTATTGAGATAGATACATTTCGGCCAGCGTAACCTGCTAACCAAGCGTCACGCACATTCATATCATAACCACCATGTGCTCCACCATTCTTCGAAAGCAATATTTAGAAAAAAAAAATGCATCGATAATTATGATGGTCATGATTGGATTAGAATGCTATCAAATAAATTAAATAAGTAATTCATCAATTAATTATCATACGTTAACATAATTAAAAGCATTTCTCAAAATATTACAACAAATAATAAATAATAAAACTTACAAAGTACCACTGTTCGCGAAAGAGAGGATCAGGAAATGGTAATGCGGGAAAAACTGTAGGTTCACCGATAATTTGTTCGGGATTCGGCAAAGCGCTTCTTATATTAGGATGAGTGAAATCACGCTTTCTTCGAATTCTAAATTGAAAATAGCTTTAAAACTCAAAAATTTCAAATCAATAAAAAAAAATAAAAATTAAATACAATAACCAAATAAAATTTTTTGATATGAATCCCCTTAAATATTTCCCCAGAAACAAGCTGGTCCAAGGCGAAAATTACTATCATCAATTTTCTGCAATAAAGTATCGTTCATTCAGATGCATTTTAAAAAAATTTTTGATACATACAATAGAAATACAGAAAAAACCTGCCTCGGCCTTTGTTCTTCGACAAATATTACATCTGGATGATCATTTATTTTGCCTACAATTTCTCGTTTACGCCTCCTTGTTCGATGTTTTTTATGTTCCACAAAATAAACTGAACCATCCAAAAATGGTTGTCCCTAAAACACTTTCATAAAATTTTGATCAAAAATAGTTAAAAATGAAAAAAGAATTTTTTAAATAAGATAAAAACCACAAACCACAATTTCCATTCCATGATATTCAGCAATTTCTTTGGCTTTATTATCATCCCTTTTTTTTAATCTCATAATAGTATGACTTGGTTCTGGACATTTCCATTCTTTGCTTTCATCACATACTGAATCATGTTCAATAGATAAAACGCTCGTTATCGATATCGTTAACAATAAAACCCTCATAAAACGCCAAAACATTCTGTAAAAAATAATCGAAATAAAACAATGCAAATTTGATGAAAAAAAGTGAATTTTTTATTTTTTTGGCGAAATCCTTTAAAGAAATTATTTTTAATATTTTTTGAAAATACGGCCCTTTAGGATCATTGATATGGCCAATAAAAATGAATCTCTAACTGTGAACATCGAAAACATAAAAGTGGAAATTTTTCATGAAAATAACATGCAAAGATAGCCAGAAAACAAGCTACAGAATCTAAACTATTTGAAATTACTACTTGTGATACAGATGAACGAAGAGAATTAATCAAGGCACCAATTCTTATGAACCATTCTGATGAAAGCAAAGCGACTAGGCCTCACAGTAGGAGTTATGATAATAATACCAAAGATTTTATGAATGTAAAAACGAAACAAACGATGCAAACGATAGGTTTCTGAAAGACAACGAATCTTTCCCAGAATTCGATGAAGAGCACAACAGGAAAATTCGATAAAAGTCATCAAGTTGTACGGAAATTTGCCAACAAATTCATGAAAATCTGATGAAAATCTAGTAAACTATTTGAGGAAATGACAAAACTAATGAAATTTTCCCCATAGAGATGTAAAGAAGTGGAACAAATAGCAAAACTCAGAAAGTGCCTATAAATAAAGAATCAATGAACGCGTTTATGTTGTTTTGGCTGAGGATTCGCGTTATAAGACTATTTACTGTTCCTTAACCGAATTAAACATTCAAAATACCATTAATTCGAAATGAATCAATACAATCTATCTGCACAATCTCCGAGGAATCATACGGACGAACAGAACCCAACCTGGCAACCAGTGGAACTAATCAAATCAAAAATTGTTGTTGCAGAAGATTTGTTAGATCAAAAACGATTGTGCAATCCCCATTTAACTGCATTTTTATAAATCGTATAATAAAAAATAAAAAAACAAATAAAAAGAAAAACCTTTTCGAGCAAATCCCCATTAATTGATCATTAAAATCGCTATTTTTCAATCAAATAAAATAGAAAAATTTTTCGAAGGCGATTCGTTGTGAAAGAAAAATATATATATAAGTATTGAATAAATAGAAATTCAAATAAAATCGTTCAAATTTGGATTATTTATCCACAATTTCAATAATAATAAATCCTCATAATTGACCACATTTTTCCACTTTTTTTTGATTTACAAAAATAGCAAACAAATTTTCGTTTTTCGGGAAAAAAGAGGATTTTCGCAATAAATAGAAATATTGGAAATACAAAATTCCGTTAAATAATGCAGCGGTTTTGACGAGTAATTTCTTTCCCTCCTTTGTTTTTAACAAAAAATTTCAAAATGACCAAACTTAAAACCTGAAAAAATCCATCAATTCACAATGGAATTACTAAAATTCGGCCTTTATTATTCAATTACTAGAATGCAGTCTCGGATACGTTAATTGGCTTTTTCCCTACAATTCAGCGGATGGTATTGTCAGAGAGATTTCGGAACAATGGGGATTATAGAAGTGATAACAAAGCAGAAGGGTGATTTGAAAACAGTGACTGCAGATAAAAATGAAATTGGCCTTTAAAATCGGAAGTTCAGTATAGTGCATTTTTGTTTCTCAAATATATGAAGAGAGGGAGGATGGAGGAGGAAGCGGGAAGAAGGAACGCACAACGCACTATTTTTCGACTGAACCTGGTACTCCCATAATCTGCTTCCTCCTTCCTCTTCTAAATCCGATCACTATTTTCTCTCTTTTGCGTGTAAGCTTGATGAAGAGAAATAATATCGAGCGTCTTCCCAAATTACATTTGGATCATGAACGGTTTTTGAGCAACGATGGTACTACGCGCTAGGAATTCCCTTCTTATCTCCCACGGGTGCTGTGGGTCTTCCACAACTTCGATTCCTCTATAAGAAGCCTGGCGGAGCATATGGAAATATAAATTTTAAAATTTAGTAACAAATTTGTTTTTTGTAAAAAAAGGACTTCGAAAAGTTGTCTGAATAAGACAAATAAAATAATTGCCGTAGTACATCAATAATTAATGTTCCTGGCGCAGTTGGCTTTCCTCCGGCTCGTAATTAACGTTATTATTATAACATTACTATTATTATTAATATTACACTATTATTATTGCTAATATTTATTATTATTATTATTAATTATTAGTATTATCTACTATTATTATTTATTATTTATTTATTATTAATATTGTTGACAATAATTATTTTTAATCACGTAAACTTTTTTAGAATCACTTGTGAAATTTGAAGGCAAATGAACAATTAAACGGATGGCGAATTGATAAATTTTATTTTTAAATAATTCGTTAAATCGTGTAAAAATTTTTTATCAAGAAATTTTTAGTGATCGATTTAAACAAATTTAATTTACACAATTCATTCGTATAATTTGACGAAAAAAAAAGCCGAATTAAATTGTTTTATTATTCAAAATTAAAATAGCTTAAAATAGTGAGTTACTGCAGTCTTTTCAGGTGCCGTGGCTTTGACTTCGGTGAAAATAAATTTGCCCTACAAAAATTTGGTTAATGGCGACGTCTCACCTGTATTTCTATTGCCAAATCATCCCTTGGCGAAATTGCCTGAGGGAGCCACCAGGTCATCGAAATGAGCCTAATCAGAAGCGATGAGCGTTCTTAGAAAAACAACTGATTAATGATCATTTAAATATTTGCACAATCATATTAAAGGCCTTTAATAATTTTCTCATCGTAATTTTTTAAATGACCTAAAAGATCGGTGAAAAAGAAAATAGTTCATATAAATTCCACAATGACTCGTATCTAGTGGATTTGAATGGAACACATCCCACCTGTGACTGTCGGACTGATAATCATAAAACCGGTTTCCAATGGCAAATCGCGAACACTCTACTCGATTCACTTCATCCAACAAGATTTATCCATAATAATCTTTCACAATTAGGAAATATAGGTATTTAAAAAGTATAAATGAATTTTTTTATTTTAAAACAATCGTATTCGGAGAGTGTTACCCAACGTTTTTCGAGCAGAAAGTACCAAAAATATGTTCTTCTGGAGTTCTTGAGTTAGGGTAAGTTGTAACGAGTGCATCTACGAGAAGTATCTCGTTATATATCAGCTGTGTATTCGCATATGGGTTCAAGTTTTTCTGACTTTTAAAGGAAAATTATTAAAATGATCGTAATTATTTTAATGATAATGATATTTTAAAAAATGTATGTTTTGCAGAATGTTTTAATGAAGAAAAATAATTAAATGATTACTTTAGATTTTAGATTTTAAATTAATCATTTAGATTTTAATTAATTAATTAATTAATTTTAATTAATTAAGTTTTAAAAAAGTTTTACAAAAAAAAGTTTTATATTTTGCAAAATTTTTTGAAGGAAAAAAATAATTAAAGAAAAAAATTTTTAATTAAAAAAAAACCATTAAAATTTGTCGAATGAAAATCACGAAATTTACTGCGAAAACAATTCAATAATATTCGTTTAAAATTAGTAAAAAAAAGTAAATTCATAAAATATTGAAATTTTATAAAACGTTAACGCATTAAATGTGCAAATACATTAGAAGAATATATTACTTATTTTAATTATTTCAGATAATTATCAATATTTTTTTTAACATTTATTGTAAATATTATATTTATAAATTATGCTTCATTAAATAATAAAACTAAATCTAAATGGTAGTAATTCACTTAGAATAAAGTAAATTTTCATTTTTAAAATTAAAAGATTCTATTATGGCCTATTAGGTCCTATAATTATTACATGCCTAATAGTAATGTAAATGCCACTAGAAGGCCATAGGTAGATTGAAGTGGAAATCTTGTGTCTCACTTTTTTTATCAAAAATATCGTAATGATGTTGGTCTTGTTCTCTCAGTTTCCATTTTTTAAATAAGCTAAATAATTTTATGACAACCCTTAAACCCAAAGCTTCAGTCCTTTATCGGAGCTAATATCCTATTCTTTTTTATTCAACACGATTTCCTGTTGTTGTTTTATTATTTCGTGTCGCTAAAACCAGCATACAATTTCACTGCCTTCGGTATCATTTAGGCTTTTTGCTTTGTTTTTTTTTTAATTTTTTGCTTATATGGCAAATTTTGCTTTGTTTGCTTTTTCTTAAACGATAATATAAGAGATTTATCTGGTATCTCGTTTCTTACTGTGCGAATTATTTCTTTCTTTAAAATTTAATTTTTTAAAATTTTTTTTCTTAGAGCACTCATCACTTCCTGTTAGATTCGTTGTACTGTCTTATTAGACCTGGCAAATAAGGAATTTCGTGCTAGAAACACACGTGAATCGCCAGCATTATCCGGAAAAGTAAAAGTAAACTTATTCCTGATAAGATTAAAATCTTAGCCTGAATATTCTGAACTACCATTCTATTTCTTTTCATATGAATAATGATTAGATGTGGAAAAGAACGATATTATGTTTATAGAATAATATATATAAATAATATATATATATATATATAAATTTTATGAAGGCCAGAGTAATCGAAATGGTAATTGGAGCACTCGGAACTGTGACTCCTAAACTAAAACAGTGGCTTCAGCAGACTCCAGAAATAAGATCCTTATTCAGAAGAGCGCAAGGAACAGTTAAGATACTGCCCTCAATCCCTCCTTGAGACCTTGAGATTTAGGGTAATCCTTACCACCTAAAGGGAGTGATGAAAAGATTTTTTTTTAATGTTAACTGTCCCTTTATCAATGCTTCATGAATGATGAGCACCACTTTTGTATTATCATTTTTATTTCTTCTGTTAATGGTGTTAATGGTGAACTTAAATTAAGATCGCAAAAACATAAACTCATACCTTATACCTACAGTCTTATAAACTATGTAGTGGTTGTTAGCGATAGCTATAGACTCAGAGAATATGTTGTAATGCGAAAGGGGTTAAGAAACTGGTTTTCCAGAAATCGACTGCCTAAAGCAGTTCCTCGTGGTATGACAAGAACTGAAAGAGCGCGTCAAACTCCTGTTTTTATTT